AGGGTCTAGGCCCGACACGTCAGCCTCTCTGCTCCTATGATGCTGCTGGGCCTGCTGTGTTCATCCAGCCCTGCACCTTGTTGTCTCGGATTCTCCAGCATCTGCAGTTCCTACTATCTCTGGCTATGCTTATTATTCGCTGCTGTAATTAAAAAAGGAAGTGTACAGATTTGCAGATGAAACCTACCCTGAACACATTATTGCGCATCTTTTTGTAATGTGGTGTTACCTTTCTCTTCGCAGCTATTTCCTACATCAGGCTAAGTGCCTTTGATCTCAATTAAAATTCTGAGCTGCCCTTACTATTTGATCATCCCTGTCTGTATGCGGCAATATTTCCAAAAAAAAAAGTCTTAATTTTTATCTTTTCTCCCCTTAATATGAGGTTTCTTGATTTTGCTACCACAGTATATCTGATGGTATTGTTTCAGGTTGATCCTAAAGAAGGTTTCTATCACATTAGAAACCTTGTATATCTCCATGAATACCCCTCAGAGAAGCCTTGCTCGGAGTTCAACAAGCCCTATTTTAGCGTTATTGGGATCAGGTTTGCTTCTGTTCTCTGAAACTCCAGCGAGGTCCAAAAGGCTACCTTAGGCTGAAACAATCAGAGTAGTATACAATACCCTAGTAACAATTGACCAAATGGATTTGACAATATCATATTATTTTCCTCCATTTGTTGGCTCCACACATGGTTTAAACATGAACAATGGCAAGTCAAATAGGACCCTTTTCAACTTCTCCTATGATGATCTCATCCTTCAAAGGAAATATGAATAGGATAGAATATATATATAGTGTGTCCATATTGAATCTAACTTACTAATAGTCTGCTCATGTATCAGCCCTCTTGTGTCCTCTATGTTAGATCTTAACCGCATCTTCTGAGCATATTTATTGTGGACTCCTGCACAGCCCAGGCAAAACTGCTGCTCAACTTCAACCTACAAGAGAAAAATACTGCAGGTGCTGGAAATTTTAAACAAAATATAAAAATGCCAGACACATTCAGCAAGTCTGGGAGCATCTGTAGACAGAGAAACAAAAATGCTTCTTGCAGTTTCCATTTTTGTTCCAACCCAGTTCTTCTGTAGCACTGCAGCACCATTCATTCTATTTTAAAATTCACTCGTGGGACATGGGCATCACTGGCCAGCATTTATTGCTTATCCCTGGTTGCCCTTGAAAAGGTGGTGGTAAGCTGCCTTCTTTAACCACTGCAGTCCTTGTTCTGTAGGTAGATCTACAATGCCCTTAGGAAGGGAATTCCAGGATTTTGGCCCCACGACAGTGAAGGAATAGCAACATATTTCCAAGTCAGAATGGGGAGTGGTTTGGAGGAGAACGCCACAGGCAGTGGTGTTCCCATATCTGCTGCTCTTGTCCTTTTAGATGGAAGTGGTTGTGGGTTTGGAAGGTGCCATCTAAGAATCTGGTGAATTTCTACAGTACAACTTGTAGATAGTACACATTGCTGCTACTGAGCATTGGTGGGGGAAGAGCGTGGATTCTTGTGAATATGGTGTCAATCAAGCGGGCTGCTTTGTCTTGGCTGGTGTCAAGCTTTTTGAGTGTTCCTGGAGCTGCATTCATCCAGGCAAGTAGGGAGTATTCCATCACACTCCTGACTTGTGTCTTATAGACGGTGGAAAGGCTTTGGGAAGCACTCTTGTAGCCACTGTATTCATTATATTCAATTCCAGTTGAGTTTCTGGTCAATGGTTGTTGATATGGGGACTCAGCATTGGTAGTGCCATTGAATGTCAAGGGGCAGTGATTAGATTGCCTGGCGTTTGTATGGCACGAATGTTACTTGCTACTTGTCAGCCCAAGTCTGGATATTGTTCAGATCTTGTTGCACATGAACGTGGACTTTTTCAGTATCTGAGGAATCGCAAAGGGTGCCAAGCATTGTGCAATCATCGGCAAACATCCCCACTTCTGACCTAATGATGAAGGAAAGGTCATTGATGAAGCAGATGAAGATGGTTGAGTGAAGGACACTACCCTGAGGAACTCCTGCAGAGAAGTCCTAGAGCTGAGATAACCAATCTCCAACAACCATGACCATCTTCCTACTTACTAGGTATGATTCTAACCACCGGAGTGTTTGCCCCCTGATACCCATTGATTCAAGTTTTGCTAGGGCTCCTTGATGCCACACTCAGTCAAATGCAGCCTTGATATCAAGGGCTGTCGCTCTTACCTCACCTCTGGCATTCAGCTCTTTTATCCATGTCCACAAATGACCATTTGGCTTCAAGTAACTGTTCTTTTTAAATTTAAACTTTCAAATTGTGGTTTGTAAGCTACCATTTTAGTGCTGCTGACATATGATATTCCCTTTTCCTGCTGACATCCCACTTCAAGGATCAATACAGCACAAGAACCTGTCCTGGGAACTCAAATGAAGGGGCCATGCATAGTCAGACAGGGTCAGCATGGTAACCATTGGAAAGTGCCAATAAAAATAGGACAGTCGAAATATATAAGTGATGGAAGATAAAGTCTAATATAAACAAATAGAAAAGTATTGCATTGAAGTACTTAAAGAGAAGTGCATGATATATACATTCTACAAATGGTGCTGAAGTAGCGAAGGGTATTGTTAAAAGTGACCCAGAATGCTCAGAAACCATCGACAGAACAGTGCGTGGCATAACTAAAATAAAGCAGGAGTCTATATGTGGAACATAGAAGCAGGAGAAGGCCATTTGATCCTTTGAGCCTGCTATGCCACTCAATGTGATCATGGTTGCTACTCCATCTCATACCCAGTTTCCACTTTCTCCTCATATCCTTTGTACCTTTAGAGACAAGAACGATATCTAACATCTTCTTCAAAACATTCAATGTTGTGGCTTCAACTGCTTTCTGTAGCAGAGAATACCACAGGCTCACCACAATCTGGATGAAAAATTGTCTCATCTCAGTTTTAAATGGCCTACCCTGTATCCTTAGATTGTGACCCTTGATTTTAGATTCTCCAGTCATCAAGAACATCCTTTACCATGTGTAGATTTCTATGACATCCTGTCTCATTCTTCTAAATTCCAGGGAATATAGTCCTAACTGATTCAAACTCTCTTCATCTTGCTATTCCAAGAATCAGTCTGATAAATCTTCATTGCACTCCTTCCCTAACCAGAACATCCTTCCTCAGGTAAAGAGACCAAAACTGCACACAGTACGCCAGGTCTGATCTCACCATTCCTGCTCTTGTATTCAGAGCCTCTCGCTATGAAGGCCAACAGATTATTTGCCTTCTTCACCAAGTGATGCACTTACATGTTTACTTTCCTCATCTGAGAGAACAGGACACCCCTGCTCCTCACCTTTTCACAATCTATCACCATTCAGATAATAATGTGCCTTCCTGGTTTTGCCAAAGTGGATAGCCTCACATTTGTCCATACTATACTTCATCCGCCATGCATCACTCAACCTGTCCAAATCGCACTGAAGCACTTCTGCATTCTCTTTATAGTTCATCCTCCCACCCAACTGTGTGCGCCCTGGCTTAGACCACACTTTGAGCTTTTGGTCAGTATTTGTGATCAAGACAAAGGAGAGCATTGTAGCATTGGGGATAGTGCAGCAAAGAGTCAAAAGACTGATTCCTAAAGTTAGAGGTCAGCGCTGTGAGAAAAGCGTAAAAAGTTTAAGCTTCTTGATCTTGAAAGGATCATCTTATAGAGGTATGCAAGATAAACAATATAGAAAAGATAAATTTAGAAAAATTAATTTAAACTAAATTATGAGAGTAAAACAACAAGCCACAGATTCATTGTCATAAATGTTAAATTTTAGGACTGATATCATGCCACACTTCATATAAAATGATGAATATTTGGAACAGAATTACAAAGTGGATCCAAAAATCCTTGAAGCAGCCAAGAATCATTGCAATGGGGTCATTATGAATGTATGGGCCAAATTTCACCCGTAAATATTTTGTGACGGCAATTAGCAGAGATATAATCAGCATCCCTTCCTAACCGACAGAATAATTGTTTCTCTGTTAGAATTCTTCCAGCTATGATCAGTTTATGATTTAGACCAGTGATTAAACTTGAGACCATTCAAGTCTGATTAGTTCAATTTTGTCCTGTGCTCTCTATTTACCAATGTGTCACGATTCCAAAACGCTTGACTCATTATCTGCCCTTGAAAGGACGTCTCATAAGTTAACATCGATTTGATAAAGTATTTAAAGCAAATACAATACATATCTCCACACTGCATCATGTGATTGAGATTTAATGGCATCACTGAGACAATAACAAACAGCAGTTTATCAAAGAAAGATCCCAGAGTAAAGTATTTTTTTGAAGGAAATTACTCATGGATTTTGTATGACAGAAAGTTATACAAAGGTTTATGATATAACTTTTCCTGGACTCATATTAATGAATGCATATCCCTGCTTGAAAAAGACAAAAAATACAAACCTGTCCTTTGTCACCCACATCACCTTTCTCACCCTGAGTAGAGAAAGAAGAGGTCAGTTATGTATAGATCCACAAACTTTCAATTTGGTTTTGTCAATTGAATTGTCCCTGATTATAAAGTACCTTGGGTCCTGATTTGCCTTGAACTCCAGTTTTTCCAGTTTCACCCTATTAAAAGTTTGAATTGTAACATTAGCATTTCTATATTCAGACAAAAAAACCCTGAATATTCATGCATACAAAATTGCTGGATTAGAACACCTATTAAAAAGGCATCCAATGATGCAACACACAGTTAACACTGGCGGAATTCAGCTTCATATCCTTGATTCTGTGCATTTCCAGTTCTGGCCATGCTGGGGTGTTAGGCTTACAATAGGTCGTAGTTGTTTATCATCAGAGGGAAATATTTGCTGAAATATTTGCTGGAATATTCACCGGATCTCACTGATTCATGACCACTGCCTACCGCCTGGTCACACAGTGGCCTGACCTGACGTTTGACAGGGACGGGGCTTGCCACCATTAATGGCCAAATGGTATTGTGCAGCATGTGGATTTTAAAAAGCCACAAATATTCATGTCAACTTAATGTTACTTGGCATTCGACAGTGTATTTTATGGATCTTCGCATCAGTTTTGAACAAACAAAAAGCACTGCCTAATGGTTAAGATTGTAGAAATTAATGTTGTAGTTCATTGACAAACACTTATTGTTGACAGTCCTGAATCTGATATGTTAAGTAAAGCACCAACATATTCTTTTACGTGGGTTAATGCCTTGTGGAAATATGAACTCAATAGTGTTATTCAATAAACTGAATTTTTACCCCGAGGTGGATGTGGGCATGTTGGGAAAATGGCGGCAAGCCGATTTTTTGGCATGCTCTGACCTCACTGAAATGGTGCTGACATCAGAGTCCTGACCCAAGAATGAATATTCAGCCCAGTGTGCGAAGCAACTGTCAGCTAATATTATCAACAACAATCTCTACCATCACTCATACTAAAACTATTTAGACAAGGCTTTACAGGATATTTGTTAAGCTTTTCTGCAATTCCTGTGTCTCCCATTCTGGATTTTTACCTTCTGGCCATCAGGCCCTGGTTCACCTTGTGGTCCCTGTGAAGAAAACATGTAATAAATGAGATCCTCCTTGCTTAAGGGATTCTTTTATAACTAATCGCAGCTTCAATGACAGATCTGCTCACCGGGAAGCCTTTCACTCCCTTTGCTCCCAGCTTTCCAGGTATTCCGGATTGCCCAGCATCACCTTTCATCCCCTGTAAGAAAATATACTCCATAACTGGACATATAATAGGTAATGATAAAGAGAAAGTGCATTCAGTAATCAGCCTGTATTTTCCATTCAGAAATTACCCAATTTCCAAGTAGCAGGAAAGTACATTTCTAAAACTTTTCTAAAAAGTTGCATTTAAACAAATTTATTTTCACACAAACTTAACGCTATGCCTCAAACCCTCCCTTCTCCTCCTTTTCCTTCTTCCCCTGTACCTTCTCTTGAATTACTGTTGTCCACCAGTAATGAATAACAGGGCTCCAGGCCAAAATTTCTAATTCAAATGACATTCAGATGGATGTTTTTGATGCCAACCATCAAAAGTGCACAGAATACAGGCAGATATTTAACATTCACAGAATTTACTATTGTCCTTTGTTTTTTAACACAAGTCTGCTAATTATTTATTCTCCCTACCTCTCAATGTACATTCACCAACAATCTATCCTGGTCCACCCACATTGAAGCGAATGTCAAGAAAGCACAACAATGCCTCTACTTCCTCGGGATGCTAAGGAAATTCAGCACGTCTATAAAGACTCTTACCAATTTTATAGATGCACCATAGAAAGCATTCTATCCAGACGTATCATGGCTCAGTATGCAACTGCTCTGCCCAGGACTATAAGGAACTACAGAGAGTTGTGAACACAGCCCAGTCCACCACGCAAGCCAACCTTCCATCCATTAACTTCTCGCTGCCCCAGGAAGGCAGCTAACATAATCAAAGACTGCTCCAATCCCAGTTATAATCTCTTCCAACCTCTTCCATCAGGCAGAAGATACAAAAGCTTAAACACACATACCAACAGATTCAAGAACAACTTTTACCCTGCTTTTATCAGACTTCTGAATGGACCTCTCAAATTTTTAACTTAAATGTTGATCTCGCTCTATCCGCCTGCTCTGCCGCCATAACATTGTGTTCTTCACTCTGTTCTATTACCCTAATGCACTTAGTAAGGTATGCACGCAAAATGAAACTTGTCACTGTACCTAAGCACGTGACAACAACAAATCAAACCAAATCACCTCTGGAATTTGTGAACAGGTTATTGACAATGTTATAAGCAACACTTACTCAGCAATGATACCTTCCATCTCTGATGATGGACAGTAGAGTACTGGGGTGCTAAATATTCAGGCAGAATTTGTCCTGCTTTTTACAGACAGATAAATTTCTACATTGGATGGACATTCATGTTGCATCTATGCTGAAATGGCTTGCCCGGAGTACAGCTAGCTCTGGATCACAAGTCTTCAGGACAATTGCTGAATGCTGTCAGGCCCCATATGTCTTTGCTGTATTCAGCGTCTTCAGCTGTTCCTTAATATCAAGTGGAATGAACCAAATAGTTGAAGGCATCTGAGATGCTGTGGACATCAGGAGAAGGTCACTCAACACTTTGGGATGTAGACATTTGCTAATGCTTCAGCTTTGTTTTTTGCACTGAATTTCTGGAACCCCCCCCCACCGCCATAACTTTGATGGAGCGATTTGAGGAATCTCCAGTTAGTTTTCTTAAATTGTCCGGCAGTATTCATGTTGGCTGTAACAGGACTGCCGAAGTTAGATCTGATCTTAGCTAGTCATGGGATCACTTGGCTTTGTCTACCACATCCTGCTTCTGCTATTTGGTGTGTCAGTAGACTTGTGTTGTAGCTTCACCAGATTGACACTTCCTTTTTAGGCATGCCTGGTGATGTATATGTCCTGCCCTCCAGCACTCTTTAGTGTTACAGGGTTGGTGCCAGCATTCTAATTTTCGCGCTGCCTGTGCAGGCCTCCAAAGCCCATGTGCGGCATCAGAAGTCCACGCTGCAGCCAGCATGCTAATGCCAATGGCCATGCGTGGAACATAGGTGCAGCTCATGCACAGCTTAGAGGATAATTGGTTGGTCCCCTGGACTGATACTAATGATATGTTTGTTATCTTCAAATTTAGTGGGAGTTTCCCTGCTCAAGGGAGTTGTGGGCAATTAAAATCAGTGCATCAATTATCACACAAACCACTTCATTTAAGACCCTAGGATAAAATCCCTTGGGCCCAAGGCATTTGTCAGCCCACAGCTCCAACCATTTTCTCAGCGCCACCTCCCTAGTGATTGTAATTTTCCTGAGCTCTTCCCTTCTCTTCGCTTCCCTGATTTATAGTTGCTTCTGGCATGTCACTTCGATCCTTTTTAGCAGAGACAATGCAAAGTAAATATTCAGTTCACCAGCCATCTCTTTAGTTTCCATTAATAATTCACCAGACTCACTTTGTATAGGACCAAGGTTCCTTCAGTTAACTCTTTATAAAACGTTTATATAAATACAGTATCAGTTTTTAAATTTTTGACAAGGTATCTTTTGTGCTCTAACTTTTTCTTCCTAATTAATTTTTTAGGAGATATCTTACATATTCTCGTTGACTTGTAGACAAGGAGGCCATTCAGCTAATCGTGGCCATGCTGGTCAACAAAGATCTGACTACACTAATCGCATTTTCCAGCTCTGGCCAAAGCCTTGAAGGTAATGGCAACACAAGTGAAATTCTAAATACTGATTAAATGGTGTGTGCGTTTTTGACTCTGGGTGAAAAACATTCTCAATTCCTCACCTCACCTTCTACCTCTTACCTTAAATCTGTGCCCCCAATTTATAGATCCACCTACTCACTGAGAAAGTGCTTTCCTGTCCGCTCTATCAATGCCCCTCGTAATCTTGTACAACTTGTCAGGACCCCCCTCAACATTTGCTACTCCAAGGAAAACAACTCAGCCCATCCAATTTTTCCTTTTAGCTTAGACCATCCAACCCCAGCAGCATCCTGGTAAGTCTTCTCTGTACCATGTCTAGTGCAATCACATTCTTCCTATAATGGGGTTACTAGAACTGCATGCAGTATTTCAGCATTTTACACATTTGAAACACAGTTTCAGCATGATCTCCCAGCTCTTGTATTCTGACTAATTGTCTGTTATGCTACCTATTTTTGGACAACTATATGCTTTTTCTTTAAGTTTGATACTTTTGTTAACATTTCTAGTTGTGATTACAGGTGTATGATTTGCATGTTATATAAGATTATCATTTTTTTTTAAAAGAGTTTCAGAGCTCGTTTAAAACTAGTTGCATATGGTCTATTTTGTGATGGAGTTTGATAATTAACTAGGTCAGTCTTTTCAGAGCCCTGATTTTAAACTATTTCTTTTCAGAGAGCAAATGCTGAAGACGTCCTGGAGGGCTAATAGAAGTCTGTTTATATTATGGGTTTTTCTGGCAAGTGAAGAAAACAAAACATTAGGCCATTAGCTTAGCAGAAGCTAGGATGAATGAGTTTTTAAAATCTAGTTAAAAGCTTCTGAATTCTGTTTGAAGAAAACCTGACTGGGATCAGATGCAAAAATAATTTCTAAGAAAAAAAAGAGAAGTTTGTTTAGAGCAGTTAAGGGAATAAGTTACGTCAGTGTAAGAGTTTCAGTTTGAGAAAATTTCCAAATGCGGAGCATTTGGTTAGAAATCTGCAGCTGGTTATTCAAAGCTGAGCAAGTCTAAGATATCAGTTGTGAGAGTCAAGGGAAAAAACTTCACAATTCATAGGATTGGAATAAAAAAGCAGTTAAGCCTAAGCATACATTTAATAGGGAAGGAAGATTTCCATGGATTTTGATTAACTGTGCAATGATTGTTGCCAGGTATTAGAAATATTTTGAACTGTTTTATATGTAGATAATTTTTTTTTGTTATTTGTCCGCTTTCGTTTTATTGTTAAAACCAAACTGGCAGCTAGGTGTAGACAGATAGTAGGAACTGCAGATGCTGAAGAATATGAGATAACAAGGTGTAGAGCTGGATGAACACAGCAGGCCAAGCAGCATCAGAAGAGCAGGAAGCCTGACGTTTCGGGCCTAGACCCTTCTTCAGAAATGGGGGAGGGGAAGGGGGTTCTGAAATAAATAGGGAGAGAAGGGGAGGCAGATAGAAGATGGATAGAGGAGAAGATAGGTGGAGAGGAGACAGACAGGTCAAAGAGGCGGGGATGGAGCCAGTAAAAGTGAGTGTAGGTGGGGAGGAGATAGGTCAGTCCAGGGAGGACAGACAGGTCACGGGGGCGGGATGATGTTAGTAGGTAGGAAATGGGGGTGGGGCTTGAGGTGGGAGGAGGGTATAGGTGGGAGGAAGGACAGGTTAGGGAGGCAGGGAAACTTATGTTTCAGTGAAAGACCAACATTTTTTTTGAAATTTCTATTGAGACACCATTAATTCTGGGATTTGACCTATCCAGGAGGAACATTAGTTGGGATCATAACATAGTTAACCATGGATGTTGGGTCCATCCCTTGAAATTTTTCCTACCCATTGGAACGTATCTATTCTGTGTATTCTGATTCCCTTAAATATCCACTTAAATTCCTGCTGTTACATTTCTATTGAAATATCATTTAACCTAGTTTACCAATTCATTTTGGCCAGCTTTGCTTTCATGCCCTCATAATTGCTCTTAGGTAAGTTTAACAAATTTGTCTTGGACCCACTTATCTGTCTCTCTAACTGAATGTAAAATTCAATTATAATTCTGATTGGGAAACATAGATTTATACAGAAAAATACAACACGGAGGGAGGCCATTCTGCCAATCGTGTCCATGCTGGTTTTCTGTAGAGTAATCAATTCAGTCCCATTCCCTCTGCTCTAGTCCTACAACCAGGGTCAGTTTAGTTTCTATATTCAAGTCATTGTTAGGCTTGAACTTACAAACTTCTGAGTTGGAGGCCAGAGTGCTATCATCTGAACCAAGCAGATTCTGAATTGACGGTCCTTTCACACATCATCATCATTCATATTTCAAACCAATTTATACCAACATGGATTGTAAATAAATCCAACTCCCAAACTATGTATTTTTAATCATTCACAAAGCATGGAATGGAAAACCAACATTTATTGCTAGTCCTTAATTGTCCTTGAAGAGGTGATGACTGCTGAATAGGTCACTGGGCCAGTTACAAGGTAGCCATATTTTTTTGCAATTACACAGAGAACTGCAGATGCTGGAAATCTTAAACAAAAACAAACATTGCTGAAGAAACTCAACAGGTCTGGCAGCATATGTGGAGAGAAAGCAGAGTTAATGTTTTGGGTCCTGTGATCCTTCTTCGAAACTCAAAGACGCTGCCAGGCCTTCACATTTTTGTGGAGTCTGGAGTCACATAGAGACCAGGTGAAGACAGCAGATTCCTTCCCTAAAAGGACATTAGTGAGCTGAATGGATTAGTACAAACTTTGGTAGTTTCCTGGTTACAATGACTGATACGAGCTTTTTAAACTCAATATTTAACTACATTTAAGTTCCCCAGCTGTCCTGATGGACCTTCTACACACATACACCAGATCATTCATCTTAGCTGGTAGTTTACAAGCCCAGTCTCACAACCATTATGCTGCCATTTCTCACAGTGACACCTGTATTGGATTGAATACATAGCACATAAAAAGGCCAATTGGCCCAACCAGTCTATGCCAGGGTTTATGGTTCTTATATCTCTTCCTGTCTTTCCCAAGGGATAGCTTGCAGCAGTAAATAACTTGAGAAGGGCTGTAAACATCATTATTCATTTTTTTTAAACAAGTACCTATTAATGAGATAATATACATTTAGGTCCCCTTACGTTGAGCAGAGTTGGGAATGGATGCAGTTTAGAAAATTCAATAATAAGTTAAATGCTATGAAGTTTCTGTTGTTTTAGAACAATATTTTAAATTGCAAAATAAACAAAACACTTACTGGAAAACCACGTGGGCCTTGTGGTCCTCTTGGACCCGGATCCCCTCTATTGCCCTACATAAAACAACAATGAAAAATGTTCCTCTGTTAATTACCATGCGATAAACAGGTAACTGTCATCATGATCCAAATATAATAAGTTTTAACATATTTAATATACATTGAATTGGATGTGCAAAAGTACCTTTGGTCCTATTTGTCCTGTTTCACCTAATATTCCTGGTATTCCCAGAGGACCCTGAAATCAATAAAGATAATTATTTGAAGCATTTTAGTTTTTGGATGTATATTTTTTGCAAAGCTCATTTTTAAAATATTGAAGTCAACTTCATCTTACATGACCACCTGGTATGCCATCACTACCAGGTCTTCCTGCCATTCCAATTTCACCCTGAAAGCAAACATATAAAAGCATTGGCTTTATATCCATGACACAGAAGCATTACTCACTAAGTGCTAGAAATTATAGCATTTACCTTTCTGCCTGGAGTTCCAACATGTCCTATTGATCCTGGGTATCCCTAGAAGAGTAGAGTATAAAATAAAATATAAGAACCTCTTCTGGAATACCATGTGCAGTTCTGGTTGCCCTGTTATAAAAAGGAGATTATTAAACTGTAGAGGGTTCAGAAAAGATTTACCAGAACGTGGCTGGGAGTGAAGGGTTTGAGTTATAAAAATAGACTGGAAAGGCTGGGAACATTTTCATTGGAGCGTAGCAGGTTCAGTGATGACTTTATGTGGGTTTATAAAATCATAAGTGACATAGATAAGGTGAATAGCAAGGGTCTTATCCCTGGGGTGAGGGAGTTCAAAGCTAAGGGACATATTTTTAAGGTGAGAGGAGAAAGGTTTAAAAAGGACAGGAGGGGCAACTTTCTTTTACATAGAGAGAGTGGTTCGTGTGTCGAATGAATTGCCAGAGAAAGTGGTGGATGCAGATACAGTTACAACATTTAAAAGACATTGGATAAATTCATGAATAGGAAAGGTTTGGAGGGACTTGGGCCAAGCGCAGGCAGGTGGGACTAATTTAGTTTGGGAACATGGTCGGTGTGGACTAGTTGGACTGAAGGATCTGTATCCATGCTGTACGACTATAAGATATTGTTCTTAATGCCAGTAAATTTAATGAAAAGTCGCCTTCCAGTCATTAAAAAATGTATTGCGGTCACACACCATGTACATTCCAAACTTACTGTTATGCAAGTATCATATACATTGAACAGGGCGATGTATGTTATTTGTACAGGAAACAGAAACTGTTTAAAGGGCACTTGTTACTAACATTTATGTATGTGGAATACATTAACAGGGATTTGTCTTACCAGCAAACGAACAATTTAATTATCAGAATCCATTGATATTGTAGTATAATATCAACCATTTTCATTTTATTGTCTGCTTTAAACTGAACAAGTTCAACACTATACCTACTCCAAATGACAGTACTATATACTGATTATAGCAGAGGATTGGTGGGAGTTCATAAGAAATCAGTGTTGCCTATGTAGGGCCAGAACCGTTTACAATTTACCAAAACACTCTAAAATAACATGCCTTTAGCAGAGTTTCAAATCGACAATGCAAATTGTGTGTGATTTGCATATTTTTAGTATTATTCCTTTTGAACTAATGCAATGTGAGTTTTGATCTGTATGTGTTGAGGAGATGTTAACTCATCAGTATTTCTTTTATTTAAACCTATGAGAGAGTGTGATAATGGGAACTTATTTGCATTGAAAAAGTTTTACCATTCGATACAGTGAACATTGAAAGGCATTTAGAAGAAACATTGAAGTCAACCCTATAGATGTCATCTGATGTTTCAGTTCTGATGGTGTTTCGATAAATGGGATTGTATTTGTCCACGTGTTTATAAATCTTTCTTGTTGTTTTATATATGAATAATTTGGTTATTCTATTTTGTTTTCATTTCTTTTGCATAATGAGTGTCTGCTTTATCATTAAAAGCAAATTTGCAGCATTGCAGGTTTGTGTTTCAGTGAAAAAACATCCTGTTAAATAAAAATAAACAAAATTTATTTTAAATTCTAGAATTCTCCTATTTACATTTTTTTTTCCAAAATGTAACTTCAACCTTATATGGTACATACAAGACTTTGAGACAATTATGTTTAAACTGCATATTTTAATTTTAAGTAAAACAGGATGTCCTGGATTGGCAGGGTGGGGTGGGGGAGTGAAATTACAATAAATTCTGCTTCGAAACAGGGCTATGTAATTTGATTGCCATGGACAAAGCAGCCCAGGCAAGAGTCAAAAGAAATCAGGTGCCAGTTTTTACACCTTAACACAAAAAGGTGGCAGCTGGTCTTATTAGACATAAGCTCTAAGATCCAGAGAAACCTAGAGAGAGGGAGACTAAAAACACTGCAAGGCAAACATAAAAACTGTGATAGCAAGAACTGCAGATGCTGGAGTCAGAGAAAACAAACTGTGGAGCTGGAGGAAGATAGCAGGCCAGGCAGAATCAGAGGAACAGGAAAGTTGATGGTCCTGACCGGAAACATCAGCTTTCCTATTCCTCTGATGCTGCCTGGCCTGCTGTGTTCCTCCAGCTCCACACTAAATATAACAATTGTTATGTGTTAACAACTGAGCAGGATGCTGAGGGGAGATAGTAGGAACTGCAGATGCTGGAGAATCCGAGACAACAAGGTGCAGGGCTGGATGAACACAGCAGGCCAAGCAGCATCATAGGAGCAGAGAGGCTGACGTTTCGGGCCTAGACCCTTCATCAGAAAAGGGGGAGGGGAAGGGGGTTTTGAAATAAATAGGGAGAGAGTGGGAGGCGGATAGAAGAGGGATAGAGGAGAGGATAGGTGGAGAGGAAACAAACAGGTCGAAGAGGCGGGGATGGGGCCAGGAAAGGTGAGTGTAGGTAG